AATAAATAACAAACTAACAACTTTGCATTATCATTTGGTTTGAATTTGGCAATCTTATTACTCAAATATTTTTGGCCTCTTTACCACTCATTTGATCCTTATCAATTATGTTGCCGAGTTATGTGATGTTTCTAACATCCTCCAGCAAACTATGCTGGGGTTGAGGCACAGTTTAATTTGAAAAATTGGGAGCTGCCATGAACATTAGTTTAATGAAGAAGTCAACAATGTTTTTATCTTCATTCTTGCAAAGATATGTCACCTGTGTATATAAGTATTTCAAGTGCTTCCCATAATGTATAGGTTGTGTCTAAATCTATAACGACACCGAGGGTATCTTCAAACTGTTTCGATGATCCAACCATGAATGAGAGCATCAGACTTTCACTAGGCAATGAATTCATTTGTTAATTTCAATGTGAATTTAACTTTTTATTGTTTCTGTATTGTTTGGATTTGATGTGATATATTTGCTGGGGATAAGTTTTTCATTGGTGAAATGATCAATCTGCTATTGAACTCATTTGTCAAATTTGGTATGAAATTTTCTGTTTCTGTTTGTTGCGGAAGCTCTCTCAAAAGATCTTCAAACGGTGGTTTTTCAGGCTCAATCCAACGTACCTTTCTCTACTAACAACCAATCCAAACGGCTCCAAACCACAACCAATTGATTCACCTTGGTTGCTATATAATCTTACCCACGTAGGACAAGAAGGGATGATGATTTATGGCCACAAAGGCTAGGAGAAGACACCACAAAGGTATACTATGAAAGAACTACCAATTGTACACGTTATACAAGCGTTTTGGACACTTCTGGACACCTTTTTCTCACACAAAAGGGGGGCAGCCGGGATTCACTAGTTTCTTCTCTCAAAATCACACAATCATCATCACAAAGAGGCTAGGGTTATATTCATATATATACTCTAGGGTTAGGCTTTAAGTTGGGCCACTAAAGGGGTAAACGGGCCAAGATTCAAGCCATCCATAAGGAATACAATTGGGCCGGGTGTAGCTCATGGACTTGGTTGTTGGACTTATTTTATTCATCGGCCTATGCCTATGAAATAATATTAACCCACGTTAACATCATAACCCGGGATTTATTGGGTATCAAAAAACTCAACAAATCTCCACTTTGATGCCCAATAAATCTGCAAGCAATCAAAACACACAGTTAACACTTGCATAATCAAGGTAGCCAATAAAATTGGATCACAGACCTTACCTCGTGTTTCCAACTTGAAACACATACCATACCTGCTCCATGTACTCACTGGGGCTAAGGTCAAAAACACCCAAGTCGAAGCAAATACTTAACAGTGAACAATCAAGAGCAAATACATATGCGATGACGATATACTATAGGATAACATACACAGATCTTTTCAGAAACACGTTCACATAGAACCATAGATTAACACCAAGTCAATCAAACCACGGTCAACCACATATGCAACACATGCATAAATGACCATAAGAAAAGATCTCACCACACTTATCCTATCCCATTCCGTGTTGCTTACACCTCGAGAACATATATCTCCTCTCATCGCCCACCACGCTCACTAGACAGATCACTTAACTCATGTCTAACTGGCAAGTCACAATAGATCCTAAGTCCACGGGATAATCCTTTATCTCCACATCACTTCTCCCAACCTACGTGGATAATGGGTCTCCACCTAACAGAAGTGATAGCAGTGTCTCTCTCACACTCCACCTGATCAGGGTCTCTTTCCAGATAAAAGATCCTAGACATTTGATCACATCTCCACTCGTGATCCAAATGTCACACTCTACATCCCTCGGTACAAACCACCATGTACCCTTAGGCATCTATACTCCACCTCACCAAAAGACGCACAACACACTGCTAATGCATCCTAACCCACTATGCATGCAAGCAATTACACCAAGAAATCCTAATGCCTCAAATTCATGCAAATGCACATATCAAACACATTGAAATGTAGCAGATAATCATGCAACAAAATTTAGACAATCACACACATGCAGAAAGGATCACACACAGATGCACATGCAGTGACTAGGTTTACACTCAATAAACCTCACTGGGGTCATAACTCGACCCCTCAACCAAATTCGTCTCACCTCTCATCTTTCCCTTCAGCTTATCTTTCTTCTTGGGACAGTCTCTTTACTCCTAAGTGAGTCTATGATAATCTCGGGTGTTAAGGTATCCCTACCATACTTAATTGCATTCTTAACTTCCCTATATGAATCAGGCATGGAATTAAGTAGGATAATAGCCTTATACGTTTCAGATACCTCTTCATCACAGTTAACGATGTCTTGAACTAATTTGTTAAAGACATCCAGATTATCATCAAGATCCTTTGAAGGATCCATTTTAAAGCTGAAAAATCGTTCAAGCAAGTACAATTTATTAGGAGTTGACTTAAGCAAATATAAGTCCTCCAACTTTTCCCAAAGTTGTTTTGTAGAATCCAGTTTTCCTACTTTTCTCAAAACAGTATCAGATAGGTGTAAAATAATTGAAGTGTATGCAAGTTCATCATACTCTTCTTTTTGTACTTCTGTTAAATTTGTAGAAAATTTGCCATCTATGGCCTTTGAAACTTTTTGTTGGACCAAAATACCCTTCATCTTTTGTTGCCAAATTGAAAAATCCCTTTTATCATTAAAAATTCCAACTTCAAAGCGTAAAGACATTTTTAAAAAACTAGAACAACCAAAAGCACAGATATGTCACACAAAGTTATCCTACGGCCGCAATATACACCGTTCTAGATTCCCAGAGTTTCGTAAGATTCACGATCTTAGATCAAGGGAATGTTCGAACGGGTCAAGTCCAGGTGTTCTAACAGGAAAATCAATGCAACACAAAGGTATGTAAACAAAAGTTCGAATTTCCACGCAACAAGCCTCACACAGTGACTATATGACAGGTAAAGCACAAAATCAACTACCAACTTGCAATCAAAAATCAACACTTCAAAAACAGAGCAAATAATTCCTAAATTTTCTAGCACAAGCAATGGTTGCCAAGCAATGACAACCCCCAATCCTAACGATCACCCCACACGATGATCTGCTAATGCTGAAATTTAAAAAATAAGTTAAGCCAATATACCAGAGCGGACTATCTGAGTCCGTAAATTATGAGAGTTGTGAATTTATCACTTTAGGACCACCACTATTCGTCCTAAAGTCTCTGAAAACTGCAGCAACCAAAAAATCACGATCGAGTCCCGAACGCCCGAAGAACAACGCTGTCCAGATTCTTCTGCGTACCCTGAAACAGAAAACTTTCAACACGAAAAATGTCAGAAACAATATAAGGAACAAACTGCCTGAAGAGACCGTCTCCAAAATCAGCCTCACGCGCCCTCACGCGCGGCCACTCTTCTATGCGCGTGGGATTCACGCGCCTCCACACGCGCCGGCCTGCAAGGTTCACCTCCTCCTGTACGTCACGCCAGTGGTCTTCGTTTCCCCAAACTCATTCTGCATTGGTCAGAAAACACCAAAACAGAGACTGATTTTTAACAGTTTTCTGGACAGTTTTTCGATCTGATTTCTGCCACGTTTCTGCCGATTTTTTGGACGATTTCTGGTAAATTTCTCGAGCCAAAACCTTCACCTTGAAGCTCTGATACCAATTGTTGCGGAAGCTCTCTCAAAAGATCTTCAAACGGTGGTTTTTCAGACTCAGTCCAACGTACCTTTCTCTACCAACAACCAATCCAAACGGCTCCAAACCACAACCAATTGATTCACCTTGGTTGCTATACAATCTTACCCACGTAGGACAAGAAGGGATGATGATTTATGGCCACAAAGGCTAGGAGAAGACACCACAAATGTATACTATGAAAGAACTACAAATTGCACACGTTATACAAGCGTTTTGGACACTTCTGGACACCTTTTTCTCACACAAAAGGGGGGCAGCCGGGATTCACTAGTTTCTTCTCTCAAAATTACACAATCATCATCACAAAGAGGCTAGGGTTATATTCATATATATACTCTAGGGTTAGACTTTAAGTTGGGCCACTAAAGGGGTAAACAAGCCAAGATTCAAGCCATCCATAAAGAATACAATTGGGTCGGGTGTAGCTCATGGACTTGGTTGTTGGACTTATTTCATTCATCGGCCTATGCCTATGAAATAATATTAACCCACGTTAACATCATAGCCCGGGATTTATTGGGTATCAAAAAACCCAACACTGTTGTTTTGTTTGGATTTAGTGGATGTATTTGATGGACGAGAATTAATGAGAGATGAGTGTAAAGTAGTTGCCAACATTTACGAATAGTAAAGTGACAGTGGAATGGAAGACTTGTGGTGTGCTGATACTCACAATGGCCTTTGATATAAAAAAGAAAATATTAAAAAAAAACTTTAAAAATGAGTAAAAGGCTTAATTATAACAATATTAACTGATAGCCATAAGTCATAAGCACCTACCACATAGTTATTCCTATTTATAATAAAGTAGGTTCAACAACTCTCCATTATTGTTGTAGCTAGTGTTTAACCAAAAAATAGATAACAACTATCAAATAACAAATTAACAACTTTGCATTTATCATTTGAATTTGAATTTGAATTTGACAATCTTTTCACCCCAAATTTTTTTAGTCTTCTTATCACTTCTTTGATCTCATCCGTTTCTAACAAATAATAGTATGCCCACGTTCTCCATTGGTTGATGTAGTCCAAATTGGCGGACAACAAGTCATCAAAGGACAACACTCACGTCAGATGTATCATGGCCGCAGACATTCTTAATACTTTTATGTCCATTTCTTTACTCTGAATTACTATATATATATATATATTTTGTGTATTTGTATAAAAATAAAAGAAAAAATGGGTATTTATGTGGAAATGAAAAATGAGTGGTTGAAAAAGAAAGAAAAATTTTCAATTTACGTGTAATATTATTTTATAGAAGATTGTGCGATTGAAAATATGAGAAAGAAAAATGGAATGAAAATTAATGGAGGCCAAACGAAACTTACTTTTGCTGCAATATTATTAGGGGGTAGACTGTAAATTTAAGTTTGGACAAATGTTTATTGAGGAACTGAAGAAAAGGAATTTAGAGAATGGAGAGGGACAACATTTTTGTGGTAAGGATCTATTAATTCTTACAAAATCATCTAGAAACTTCAGCTAATCTATTTACCTGTTTTAGCGAAGATGGGGTAAGTGCCGGACTAGGTAGGAAACAATTGTAACCTGTTTTCTAAGATGAAAATTGCAAGTATGTATGCTAAATTGATTATTTTACTAGTGTTGGAGTTAATAAAACTTAAGTAGTTGATGTTTGCATAATCCACAGCAAATTGATAAATTTAGTTCATAATTTTTGCTTCCAGTGTAAATTTAATGCATATCAAGTGTTGCATTGCTTTATGACAAGATTTCTCCTACATTTTCCTCTGTTTTTTCAATTTATGTATGATGTAGTAAACTTTTTCATAATTTACTAATCAAAAGGAAACTTTTTGTAATTAAATTAGGACCGAGGACAAGCAATTCTCATTAAAACTATAGTACTTCCGAGAGCAGAGATCAATTTCTTGCTTGTTTTTCAATTTTTACTTAAAGGATTTGTAGCTTAAATCTTTCATCAGTTGTGCTATTTATACAATCGAGGTTAACAACCCCCGGTTGACAATTAGACACATGAGAGGAGGGCCATGCTGAATAAAAAAATCATGAGTTTCTCCTCTTGTGAATACATTGTCAACCGGGGTTGTCAATCCTAATTGTACAAGAGGAATAATTCATCTTTCATTTATGCATAGGTGTAAAGAAAGATCATAGTGGTGTGTTGACAGTGTTGTTTGGATGGTAAATGTTCTTTGACTTTTATGATAACGGGTTTCTTTGGTTGTGCTGGTGGTGAGGAGTATGCTTCTGGGGAGGCTTTGCTACGATTGTATCCGTTTGGTAACCCAACTACTAATTGTTCTACGTTTAGAATTCGTTTCCCTTTTGCTTGTGTGTTTGAAGAAGAATGGAAAAGATATGATTATTTGGTCTAAAATTTTGTCTAATGCTGCTTGCTACTCATTTAATTGATGTCTAATATAGCTTTTTGATTGTTCAACAGATGTCCAATGTAGCCTCTTCAAAGATTGTGCTTTACATTTAACTTATGGGATCTGGTTTTTGATTATGTGTTTGCTTTCTTAAATTTTTTCATGACAGGAAATGCACCAAGCTCAATAAACCAAATGACAGTTACACAAATGGAAGGTGATCAGTTAAATAATTTACATTTGTTACTCCTACATTGCTTTTATCATTATCCTTCAACTGGAATACTAAATTGTATTTCTATTCATTACAGACATTAATTATCTATTTCTGTAGTGGGAGGTTTGTTTTAATTGGAAATCATGTCCCAAATTCAAGTCCTCTTATAATGACTTAACAGAGTGATGCAGTTTTTTTCAGTTCGAACTTCAAAATTAAGGAACTGTAGGCGTATAATTACAATTTCTTGTGACATTTCTATTATCTCTTCGTAATTGATCACACTATTTGAATATGGTGGATTGATTCTTGGAAAAATACATGAAGCACTTAAAAGACATATTGTGCCTAAAGTGCCTGAGAAGTGGGTACGAATAAATCATCGATCATAGATGACTGATGAGAGGATGAATACAGTTCATCATCACATTTGTTGCTAAAAATGTTTCGAAGTAGAAAAGGAGAAATAGAACAATACCCTTTATTATTCTCCATTTCATATTTATTGCAAATAAGTTAAATTCTAGTTGTATATGAAGGGTCTATGTAAACGTGTCGACTTATATTTTTATATAAACTAACCTGGTTTGTATCTATTTCACATTTGTTTAAACATTGATATTTTTATAATAACTAACTTGGTTTAGGCTACATATTAAAAGTAGCATAATGTACTTTTTTGTTTCATGTAAGTCGTTGTTCAATAGGTTTTGTCCATTTAAGTGTTATTTATCATATTTCCTTAAATGAGTACTGAATAACATTTGCTTATAGTTAAAAGTGGGATCCATGAAAGAGTAATAATTAAAAACCTCTTCTTTACTTTTTGTGGAATTAATTAGTAGCATTGTTCAAAGGAAATACAGCTGCAAAAAAATTAATGTACTTGCTTCTTTGGTCTCCGTACATGCATAAATTTATATTTTACGTTCTTAGGCTTGCCATTTGATTAATTGCTCAATTTCTTTAATGCCTTAAAAACAGTTCCGTCAATGAGGAAGAAGTGCCTGTGATTGATGTTATATAGTTCGGGTACTTTAAGGTTTTGGATACTGGAGTTTTACCGAAAAATTAGTTGGTGGTTGTTAAGGCTAAGCTTGTGTGGAAGATTGTTGAGAAGAAAATTATGGGGGACGATGGTGCTGTTTTACTAATTATTGAGTTTGTTGTTTTTTTTATTTTTTTAAATGTATTAGATTTTTAGGTGCTTTAAAATTTGGGATTTGAATTTTGTACAGATATTGTTACATTTTGGAGTTCAATTAATAATGATTATTGGAGTTATAAGATATTGTTATCTTTATCATGTTTTGTTGTTGATTTATATAAATTGTTGTACAAATAAAAAATTGAAAAAATTGAAAAAAATATAAAATGACCTATGGCAACGGTCAAAAAACGTTGTGAAGAATATGGACATAAGTATTGACAACTATAAAGGCAGGATGACACGATATTAAATTCAAGAAACAGGAAAACCTTAATCAACAAAAATAAAATTGCAAGAAATTAAAAATGAACACAAAGGAATTATTTCGGCCTAAACCCCGAAGGTTCGACGACCGCTTTTAACGCCTACATCCCCTGTTGAACATCCAAAGATTTGGATTATGCTCGGTTGCACTAAACAGCCAAAATGGCAACAAGGATTACAGATTGTTCAGAGAGATAAAAATGAGACTTATCTCTCAAATATAGTGACGGATCTACAGAGATTTACTTAGATCTCAGCCCTCAAACCCTTCGAACATCACCACGAAGTTACAACAGAGAAATCACTCAGATTTCTTCACTATCCACACTGAATACTACAGATCGAAGGAAGATCTCACTATCCTATACATAAAATCAGAGATTTTAAGCACAAAACACTATAGAAATGATCATCTCTTAAATCGCCATTTTTCTCTCTAAAAACCAAGAAACGAAAGCAAAACCAAGAGTGAAAAGTTAGACATTCCAGAAGACTTTGGGCTTTTAAAGAAGGGCAGATAAACCGGCTCCATCCAACGTCCAGAATTAATCCACGTGTTGATCATCCAATTAAGTTGTCACAAGTCATTAAATCGTGTTTCATATAAACATGATTTTTGCAACGGTTCAAATTTTGAAATCACCAAATGTAGAGGAGAGGGTTCAACTCAAACAATCTCCACCTTGCTGCCAGGATTTGAACTATTAGTGCATCCAGGAGCATGATCTTATATCTTTTTCATTTGCTCCAAGTACTTGTACATAAATCATAAAGAATCAATAGATAAAAGTTTCAAGCAGTTTAAAAATTTGTTTAAAGGAATTACTTTTGTACCCATATCAGATGGATTAAACTGAGTGGAAACTTTTTCAATCTTAATTTCACCTTTTGAAATTATATCTCTTATAAAATGGTACTTAACATCAATACGTTTCGATCTATCATGAAACATGGAATTTTTGCTTAGGTGAATTGCACTTGGTTATAAGAAAATAGCACAATGTGATTATCATCAAAACCCATTTCAGACAGTAAACCATTCAACCAAATCCCATCTTTAACAATATCATTTGCAGCTATATATTCTACCTCAGTTGAGGATAGAGCCACAACTTTCTGAAGTTGAGATTTTCAATTAATGGTAGTACCACGTAGTGTACAAAAATAAGATAAGGTTGATTTTCTATTATCTCTATTGCTAGCAAAATCAAAATTAGTATACCCTTCAAACTTATTCCATTTTTATTTGATTTAAACATTAAGCCTAAGTTTGATGATCCCTTAAGATACCTTAGTAACCATTTTAAAACATGCCAGTGTTCTTCACCAAGATTACTCATAAATCTACGTAAAATGTTAATATTATATGCAAGATCAGGTTTGGTGCATATCATCAAATACATCACCAACCAATTACATTAGCATATGGAATTTTTGACATTCTGGCATCTTCATCTTTAGATTTAGGACAGAGTTCAGAAAACAACCTAAAATGACTAGCAAGAGGCAGTGTCACAAGTTTACAATCATACATGTTGAATTTTTTCAAGATTTTAAACACATCATCACATTGATTCAGAAACAACATATCTTTATCCTTGTTTCTCCAAATCTGTATGCCCAAAATCTTTTAGCAGCACAAGGTCTTTCATATCAAACTCAAAACTTAACTTTGATTTAATTTCATCAATTTCTGATTCATCAAAACTAGCCAACAACATATCATCCACATAAAGGACCAGATATAATGAGTTTTTAACTCCACTACCTTTGCAGTACAAGTAAGTATCATATTGGCTTCTTTTAAATCCAAGTTTTAAGACAAAAGTGTCAAATCTTTTATATCACTGCCTAGGTGCCTGCTTTAGGTCATATAAGGATTTCTTTAACAAACAAACAGTGTTTTCAGGATCACCCTTCTCAAAACCAACAGGTTGTTTCATGTATAATATTTCATCTAATTCCCCACACAGGAAAGCAATCTTAACATCTAGTTGATCAAGTTCCCATTTAAATTGTGTAACAAGTGCAAGCAAACATCTGATTACCACATACTTAGCAACAGGAGAAAAAATTTCAATATAATCCACAGCTTTTTTTTTTGTGTGAAACCCTCTGCTACAAGTCTAGCTTTGTATCTAACATTTTTATTATCACATTCCCCATATTTTATCTTATAAATTCACTTGCAATCAATTAATTTTTGTCCTTTGGGCTTATCAACTAATATCCATGTTTTATTTTTAAGGAGTGAAGACATTTCATCTTCCAATTTTTGCTTTCTTTACATTTCATGGCTTCTTCAAAAGAATTTTGTTCATTTTCAGTGAGGTCTTGGTAGGTAAATAAAGATACAAAGGTGTCACTATCAAATCTGGTGGAGGGTCTAATTTGCCTCCTCTCCCTATCTCTTGTGAGTTGATACTCATCAAAGGGAAGAGCTGCAAAATCAGCCACTTTCACATGTTTAGTTTCAATTTCAGTTTCAGGTAAAAAAACATGTTCTTCTGCAGTAGTCACAGAAATATTCTGGTTACTGCAGGAAGGCCCCACCTCAATTTGAACATCTTTTTCAGTCAAAGCATTTTCTTTTCCTTCAAGACATGGCATCAAGGATTCATTAAAGACTACATCTTTTCTAATTATTACTCTATAGCCTTTTTCATATTTAACTCATAATCTGTACCCTTTAACATGTTCATCATAATCCAAGAAGACATATTTTAATGATCTTTGTTCTAATTTACCAATTCAGATAAGAGTAATTTACAGAACTATTTGACCACACAGATTCAAGAACAACAAAGTTTAAAGCATTAGCAGGACTCCTATTAATCAAATAAGGAGCAATTTTAACTGCTTCACCCCAAAACATTTTAGGCAGTCCAAAACTTAATAGCATGCATCTAATTTTATTCAACACAGTTCTATTCATTCTTTCAGTCATTCCATTTTATTGTGATCTGTGTGGAACATTTTTGTGTCTCATGATGCCATATTCTTTACAAAGATTATCAAATTCATGATTGCAAAATTTCAAACCATTGTCAGTTATTAAATATTTTATTTTAAGACTAACCTGATTTTCAACTTGAGTTTTCCGGTCCTTAAAAATAGAAAATGTCTCATCTTTTGACTTTAATAGATGAACCCAAATTTTCCTTGAAAAATCATCAGCTATTAGCAAAAAAATATTTGAAACCAGTCAATGTAGAAACAGTAGCAAGACCCCACAAGTCAGAATGCAAATACTCAAGTCTTTGTTTGGATTTATGAATCTCAGTTTGAAAAGGAAGTTTAGCTTGTTTTTCTAAAATACAATGTTCACAAGAGCCAAAATCACCAAGATTATGTTTTCCAAAAACACATTTTGATTGCAGAATATTCAAACCCTTTTTACCAATATGACTAAACCTTTCATTCCACAATTTAGCCAAAGTGAATTTTTCAGAGACAACAGAAGCAGTTAATCCAAGCAAAGGTTTTGCATTCAAGCAATAAAGGCCATATCTCTTAGGGGCTAAAGTGACCAAGTTATTTTTACTAAGAATTTTTATATGTCCTTGACCCATAATTATGTTAAACTCCTTGTCATCTAGCATTCCTAAAGACACTAAGTTCCTTTTCAAATTTGGGACATGTCTTGTGTTCTCACGGAACAAAACATTACCATTTTCTAATAATAATTTGACAGTCCCAATTTCACTCACTTTACAAGAAAAACTATTGCCCATTATAACCTGCTCCCTTTAGTTTTTTCTAGATTTATAAAATAATTTTTGTTGGGGCACATATGAAAAGAGCATCCTGAGTCAAGTATCCATTCATCACTTAGACATTTTTTAACACTTACTAAAACAAAATCATTTTCTATTTTGGTTTTATCATAGGCCAATGCATTGCTTCCATCAAAACATTTTTCTTTTGAATCATTTTTCTTTTTAAAATAATCTTTTGCAAAATGACCAAGTTTGCCACAATAATAGCATTTTTTAACTTTTGCATTATTCTTCATCTTACTCTTCTCAACCTATCTTTTATTTGCTTTTGAAACCTTAAAATTTTGTGTAGGTTTTTCAAAAGATTTTCCCTTAGTTAAAAAACTAGTTTCAGTGTGACTGTTCTTGACTCAACCTTGACTTCTAAAGCTTTATTTCTCAAAGCATTGATTATAACATCAAGAGTGAGTTCATCTCTGCCATATTCAAGGGCAACTTTAATATCCTTATACTTGTTACTTATGGAGTTTAACAGGACTACATCCGATTGATCTTTTGAAAGCTTTTCATCACAATTGGCCAAGTCTTGGGTAAGTTTTGTAAACCTACTAAGATTTTTTTCTAAGTCAACTGTAGGATCCATTTTAAAAGAGAAGAATTGTTTTAAAAGAAAACATTTGTATGGAGTGATTTTGGTCTCATACTTAGCCTTAAGTTTGGCCCAAAGATCAGAGGCAGTAGTGGTTTCACCTATTTCTTTGATCACATTATCGGACAAATAAAAAAAATATTGAACTCCAAGCAATTTACTCAAGTTCAGATTTCTTATTAGGTGCTAAGCCCTCAGGCCATGAATCATCTAAAGTCTCGACGCATTTCATTTGGATCGAAATTGCTTTCATTTTTTGACTCCACATATTAAAATCGATTTTACCATCAAATTGACTAACTTCAAATTTAGCAGTAACCATGATGCAAACAATTTATCACACACAAATCAGCTAGAACTTACAGTAGTTTAAACAGGGAGTCAAAAGTATCACTTTGTGTCAATTTGGAATCACAGTAGAACACACAGTAAT